GGTGGAACTATGGATTGATAAAAGATAATACATTTTTTTTATAGGTGGTATAAGTTGCATACATATGACTTCTTCAGATTGTGTCAAAATACTTATGTGGTCAATAAATATTCCGTAATTTTAATATAAATGTGAAAATTCATTTTCAGTTTTATATCCACTATGGTTAATGAGGGAAAGGTAAATGTCTAGATGATGGCCCCCACCCCCTTCGGGGTTCGTTCGTTCTTAAAAAATTATGGGGATTGAAAGTTAATTATTTTGACAATTTTCATACACTATAATTCAAATAAAATTCAATAAAAAAATTATTTTCAAGCGGGTGGAGGTGGGGGATCGAAAGAGGGTGGTCACTTGAACAAAACCCGATAACCTAACCTAACCTACCCTATTGATAAAGATATTTAAATAATGTTTTATATAACTTTCTCAATATTTTTATGTATTTTTCATTAGTTTTACCTTTGAATATTGTTTAAGAATGACTATATAAATATTTACATGCCTAGAAATGTATAAAAATTGACATATTTATTAACTTTGAACCCAAAACTTTTTATGGGGGTGAGACCGCCACGAACTTTTTATGGTACAGTGGTGGGGGAAACCTCCTCTTTCGATCCCCCTTCGGGGGTGGGGGCCATCATCTAGACCTTTACCGAGGGAAAATTTGTTGTTGTTGTTACACCCTCGCCGGGAATCGAACCTGAGACCGTTGGTTTTGAAAGTCAGAGCATTGATGCAGGTTCGATTCTCGGCGAGAACAGCAACAAATTTTTCTCATTAACCTGAAGTAGTTTATAGTGGTTAAAAAATTGTAAATGAATTTTCACATTAATATTTAATATTAACCACTAGATACTACATAAATGTCAAAGTGTTTCATGCATAAGTAATTTTAATATTGATATTTCTACATATCTGTTAGTATATGGAGTTAAAAGCATCATCAATTCAATAATGAAATTGTTGTTTATCCAGCCACTGTATTCTTATTAGCAGAAAAAGTAAAAGGTCACCGTTTAACCATGTCTAAACCAACACGCTTTTCATTGGCGATGAATCACCATGAATAAAGTTGCCAATTAAGACAGGAGGTGTGTACCAAAGTCAAATCTAAACACTTCCTCTCAAAATAGTTTCCGTTGTGCGTAAAATTCTGGGCGAATTATTTTAAATCGGTTTCAATTATACATGGTGGGCCAACAACATGTAATTAAACCGATTTAAAATTACATCATCGCATTTGGATCTCTGTAACTTCAGTTCCGAGAACTATTTTCGACTTGTAAACGCTACATCTCCTTATATAGATGTATAATACAAGTACATACGAAGATCTATTATCAGTTATAGGAGAAATTCGATTTCTTTTCTACTGCATGGGTACTAAGCAGACTTGCACCTCGTTTTTTCACGATTAGTGACAGATTAGTTAATAAAACGTCGTGTTTCAATTAAAAGTTAATTTTTAGGGAGAGTGGCTCATTTTTAAATGCCACAGGTGGTGTCAACGTTCTCAAAATCGAAAAAACAAACAACACAGGCGGGTGTGGCTCTTCGCCTTTTTTATGTTAATGGCATCTAGAACGTGCCGACAACAGGATAAGGATGTATTAAACATTGGAAAAGATTGTTAAGTGTACGCCACTTGCTAAAAATATTTCGTACAAAAAAATACCTAACGTTATAAATTAACATACACCAATAGTAAGAATTTTGTACTAATTAGTAATTATATTTTCCATTTTTTTCCACTCCTACATCAAAGATTTTTTTACTCTCTGAAACAGGAATAACAAACTACATCTTACGCCGTTAAGGCGTCTCACAGAAACTGTTATCGGGATCTAAATGAATATTTCTACTCCATTGTCTAACGATTATCCATTTTTGATTTTGCAATAATTTTAAAAAGTAAAAGTAAATACATAATAAGTTTATCAATTTTTAATTTACAGTCAATAACTCCATAAGATAAACCGTCGCTGTTAATAACAAACATAAAAAATACTAAATGTGATGATGTCAGTATTAACATCTAGCAAGGAGGAGTTGGAGATAGCTTTAAATAAAATGGAAGCGGTACTGACAGATCAGTACTGTATGAAAATAAATAAAAGTAAAACTGAAATACTGGTATGCAAGGGAAGAAAAAGTAGGGAAAGAGCGAATATAAAGATAGGAGACGAAAAATTAGAAGAAGTGGCTGATTTTAGATACCTAGGAAGTCAGATAAGTGAGGATGGAAGGAGTAGTAGGGATATAAAGCAGAGGATAGCGCAGGGTCGTGTCGCCTTTAATAAAAAGAAGTCACTTCTATGCTCGCGAACGGTTAATTTAGAAATTCGAAAAAGGTTGTTAAAGGTGTATGTTTGGAGCACGGCGTTGTACGGGTGTGAAACATGGACAGTGGGAGCGGCGGAAAAGAAAAGGTTAGAAGCGTTCGAAATGTGGTGTTATAGGCGGATGATGAGGATATCGTGGGTAGAAAAGGTTAGAAATGAAGAGGTATTGGAAAGAATAGGAGAACAGAGGACTCTATGGAAGTCAATAAAAAATAGGCGAGATAGGTTGGTAGGACACCTTCTCAGGCATGAAGGTCTAGTCAGAGACATATTAGAGGCAGAAACAGGAGTTAGGAGGGGTAGAGGTAGACCTAGATTAGATTACTGTTCACATATAGTTAAGTATGTGGGCTGTTCTAGTTTTAGGGAAATGCGAAGTTTAGCTCAGGATAGGAAAGAGTGAAGGTACGTGTCCAACCAGTCTTAGGACTGACGACCTTATGATGATGATGATGTGATGATGGAATTTTAATAAGTGTTAGATTATCTACTAGATCTTACTGCAATATTTCTGCCTGTCAGCGCAATGTGAAGACATAGCGTTCTTCTTCCTCTTTTAATCTCTATATGCAAATTTCCACAAGATTTTAAAGGCAACAGATATTGTTTAAATGATTTGCATAGAAGTCAACACCTACTTCCAAACACTCCCAATTTGTTTTCTACTATGCCATATCAGTAGAAATATTTGCATAAATCTGCACACATTTTGTGCGTCAATGTGACTATCAATTTCACATTCTGCTGCTACATATGATAAGTAATAATATAACAATAATGTAGTAGTAATAAGTAGATTTGTTCCTCCATGCCAAAAGAATCAGTAAATCCTTCCATTTTGTTTTTACAAAAACGGAACTGCAATTGGGAAAGATTACATTACTGTTTCTTAATATATGTAATGGGTAAGTTTATTAGTATGTTACCAAGGTCCATTGAGTTGTGTCGTTAATTGAAAGAGAAAATTCTCACACAATTGCCCATTATTTACAAAAAATTAAGGTTGTTGTTAGTTCGAGTAGAATTTAATGTATTCATTAACATTAACAGTCCTAATAAAATTTAAATATAGCTTTATTGTACTCAGAAAATAGTTTTATGCTTTGAAAGCATGCAAGTTCTCTAAGGAATTTCTATGTTTACATTCTTTAACTTGTTAATTTGTTAATTTTGAAATGAAAAATAGCAGATGATAGAAATTAATAGAATTTGTTGTTCCGAAATATGTGGACAACACTGAAATAGTGAATTTTATTAAAGAGTTTCTGAGTCATCAGGACAAAAAAGGAAAATCAGGCAAAAGCTTGTTGTCTGACACAGGCATTCCAGGACTGGATTCAGGAGCGTACAGTGACTCATTGTCACTTTATACACCTGTCCACCTTAAAACATTATTGTTGTGCACTTTGCTACTAGTTCAGTCGTTAATATAATAGTTTGTGGCTATTTTTGGACTCAATATTAGCAGAAAACTCGATCTTATATTAAAAGAAGTTGGTTTTGCCCACGCTCTATATATAAAAGATTTTAAAGGAAGTCGTACAATTGCGAGCAAAGTAACACGATAATGTGCATAATTAACTCAAGACAAGGTTAGAACACCTGAAATATTTCTTCAACATTGTGTATTATGTGAATTAATGCTAAGGTGAAGTCCGCGATGTCAAGTTTTTATAAACTGCGCCCGAATTTAGACATCTAACTAAAGCATCATTAAATTAAGTCTTAATTCTTCTTCTTCTTCATGAATTTATTTTTATAATACTGTTTACTAAATTAGTTGTGTCTTTTGTAATCTTTATCGTGATTTTTCAAGAAATATTTCGTTGTTTTCAAAAAAGTTTTGGATGAATTTTCATTACCATTAGATGTTAAGTCTCTCATAAGAATATTAAAGGATTATACAATCTTACAGCACTCAATAAGTTAGTTATCCTTATCATTTACTATCCTTACGTTTCTGCATCTATACAGTAATTGCATTGAGAATTGCCCCAAACACAATTAAGATTTTGTATGTATAGAGAACAGTACTGTAAAACAAAAAGGGGAGAGTGAGGGGGTGAAATTAGATATTAGTACAAAACACTTCCTCGACTTGTTTTTAATTAACACAAATTAACTTAAACATTTTTATTTGCATTCGCAGTTAACACAAACACTATCAGCATTCAGTTGTAAAAATTTCAAGAATTTTTTTTTATTATAACTTTTTCCTTTTTCAATTTATTTTAACTAATTATATATATTACTTGAAATGGTCATCAGAAATTATGAAAAGAAGACCGACCAGTCACTTACAACATCAGTGTTTTCCTATTGTGTCNAAAGTAACAACAAGTAGTTAGTGTCAATAATTCTTAAAAAACTTGAGCTTCTTCTGTTAGCTATATAATAAAATAAAAAATTTAATCTTTAAATTCCTAGTTATCCTAGGCATCAAAGAAAAAAAATGCGGCATAACCTATCGGATGTGAATTACCACCCGAAGCTAAAGACGAGTGCGGCAAAATCCCGATTGTTGGTGCCGTATTTTCTCCCAGCGGTCTCTATACATTTTTTTTACCACACACCTGTTCGGAAAGTACAACTTTTTTTAATTTCAAGTAAGAAATCGCGTTTACTCAACCACGGGGATGATAGTAAGATCCTTCAGTGAATGTGACTTATCTCGGAAGCAAACTTGCACCTTAGTCCCTGAAATCAGGGAAAACGTCGTACTTCCTGTAAGGAATAGTACAAAAGTACTTTTGAGGTTTTGGTAGATATCTTTAACAATTGTTTGGACTTATCTTCAGGAAATACAAAAGAAAGCGACCATTTTAATAAAGACTCAATCTGCTTTTGTTTCGTTGGTTTAAATTAAAGGATAATTGATATCAATTATCCCATACTTCCCTGTTGTCTTGTTACCGAATTACCGTTCTTCAAAGTTAGCGTTTCCTTTTCCGATATCCGTATCGTGATATCGGTTTTTCCGCGGAAATAATGGAAGGGAGCAGTCAGCATTGTTCCTTAGTCGGTTCCGTTCTTTTGCTCTTGCGTTTCGTCCTGTCATCCTGTCTTCATAGATCAAGAAAGTTGCTTCTGGAGACCCCGAGTCTCCGTTTCGTATGACGTCATACGCGTTTGGGAAAACTGACTGAACACTTATTACCTACGGACGGAATGCCGAAGAGGGGACGGGCGTTTTATAAAAAGATCATGCAATCCACCGATTGCCCATTCAAAATTCGAACACGAGCTGCGTTCCCATAGTTTAGCGGCGCTTTTTTTCAATAATTTACGTTCGGTACAATACTTATATCTTGTGTTTTAAAACGAAAGTGAAACAGTTGAATCACACAAAGCGAAAGAAAAGTTTCGAATATGGATGTAGAAGAATTTCGGGTGCGCGGCAAGGAGATGGTGGATTATATTTGTGCTTATTTGGCAACCATGAAGTCGAAGAGGGTTACCCCCAATTTAGACCCAGGGTAAGTACCTGCCCACTACCAATCATCTACATCCCCGCCTACAGTTGCATTAGAATTTTTTAAATTTCCTATTTTATTTCGCGAAGATTTATGTTCTTATTGGCGGAAAAACGTTTATTCTACTTATCGTCCGAAGAATCAATCGTTAGTACGACTATTACATCACCAGGCTCTTAATGTCTTAATAATTACACGGATCTAGTCTTAATTGCCGATGATGAATTGGAAGTTTTTCTGTAAACGGCTTCGTGCGCTTCCTCTCTATAGAATTATTTTCGGTTGTGAGATAAATTTTCCGTAGCTACTTCCGCATCTACTGTATTAGGTACTTTTGCAATTCACTTCGGGAAATTTCTCGCTACTTTATTGTAAAGAACGAGGAAAATTTATGATCGCTTATGTTTAGGTTTTTGCAAAAACTTTTGCCATCGGAAGCACCGCAAGAACCAGAAGAATGGGATGACATAATGGAAGATGTGGACACAAAAATAATGCCCGGTGTTACTCATTGGCAACATCCACATTTTCACGCCTACTTCCCTTCCGGAAATTCGTTCCCATCCATTTTAGGAGACATGCTCTCAGACGCCATAGGATGCATAGGATTTTCTTGGGTAAATATTTTACAGAGCGGATACTGATTGAAAATGAGAACATAAAGAAACTTTTCCAAAAGTGCGTTGGTTTTCTAGGGAATCAATTGAACATACCTAAATCTGTTATAATCAAATTAACGATAATTTTTTGACCTCTGTAGATTCAGTAATAATATAAGTAGACTTATTTCTAACGATTAAAACTATACAATAAAACTATATTAATACACATGCTCGTATTAGGAAACACTTTCGATTTGAAGAATTAAGAAAGAAGTTACAAATCTGTGTGCTAATGAAACTAAATTTGTGACTCCATGAGTAGCACAGTCAGAATCTAACCAAGTAACCGATGAAAATATCATTTAAAACTTGTAAATTGAAATATTGTAAAATATTTTTAAGTAAGCAACCAATTAAATTATTAGTTAAAACTTGCAGATACAATTTTTAAAATCGGGGTGTCAAAAATTACAAAATGACTCAGTAGCAATGAGCAGAGTTTTTCGTTATTTAAAAGGGCAATTTCCGATGTACGTATACGAAATTATTCAAAAAACAAATTTGTATATATTGCAAAATTGCTTCGGTTGCTTGTTTTAAAATCAGGATAATAAAATTAAAATGTTAACGGTAAATAGTGTCAGTGTAGGCACATTTTGGCAAGTCTCGATTCATAAATTAATTATAACCATACGTTATCATCGCCGTTCTATTTTTATTCGTTTAGATATTATTGTGAAAATACGCGTTCTTGCTTTGTCTTCCTGTTGCATCTGCATGCTAAAACTTCATAATAGACACACTTACTACATAAATTGAAACGTAGTAATTTTTATTGGAACGACAGTCATTTGCTGTTTTTTTTTTTTTATCTGGCTACCGCCAATCGACAAAAAAACAGATGTGGTCAAAAAGGCATAAAATACGTTTTTATATAGTCTGACCAGTCATACACACCGTGTCTAATTATAATTTGTGAGCAAATTTTGCTCTAAGGTGGCTGTTCACGTAAGCAATTAGCGTCTTTCAATAGATTTGTTTAGACAGATCAATCATGGATTACAAAAAGCTAGGCAATGCGGGTTAAAATAGGCCAATAACAATTGAATATCATTCATTTTTTTGGTTACTTTTTGCAAGCTATTTTGTTTATAGGCTGTTAGTAGAAAGACTCTGACTGATTGTTTCCAGAGGTGTGATTTATTTGAAATACTTGCATTTAAAATGCAAATACAAAATAAAAAATACCTATTTTTATCTTGCACTAAAATACTTTTTTGAGAAAAGCATTTTGTATTTTATTTAAAATACTTTTCCAAACGTATTTTCTATTTGTAAAATGCAAAATACATTTTTGCCGTTAAAATTTTTGCTAGTATCACCGATGAAATATTATTTAAAATGATGAATGAAAGTTGCTCACATTGGCCATTGAAGGTATTATAAGCTTAAAAAGGGGTCAAAGAGACATTCCATGAATGCCTTCTAATTATTTAACTGGAGAGAGCCCAAAAAATTCTAAACTCCTTGGAAATGGCCATTGAAGGTATTAAAAGCTTAAAAAGAGGACTCCTTGGAAATGGATAATCTAAAATATTGGATCGATATTGATTTCCGGGTTCAATATCATGGTTCATGGAATTTTGAAGTTCCAAATTGATATTAACACCTGCCAAATCACCACTTATCGTACCTTTAGCAAGAAACTACGAAATTCTATGAATTACGACAAAACAAACCGCAAAACAATATCGAATTGATATACGCCAGTTGTGTAAAACTGAAAACCACAAGATTTTGTGATGTGCTAAAAAATTCCTATAATCCAAAATTCATAGAAAACGATTCGAAAAACTTCACTTATCAGATGAACCCAAAGCTAAAGAAACTATGGATTACCTACATTTCTTTCTTTTATTACAATGTGTAAAAATCGGAAACAAAATGGGGTTGTAAATATTTTGATTTAAACCCTATTTTGGCTCTGAACTTTTACGGTACATAAACTATTTTGGCATCAGTGCCAATTAAAACGGGTGAGAAAGGTATATAAGGAAGTATATAGAAGAATTATTTGTTGCTGAACTGAAGAAACTATAACATAAAGATAGAAAAACTATATCACAACCACTTCAAACGGAAAAATATGAATCATACTCAATCTTCGTAGCTGGTGATATAATGCAAACACCACTAGTAGTCTAGAAAAACTGCAATATTTAAAAAATGAGAAAATGCCTGCACGGTTTTCTTTAAAAATATTTTATACTTTAGTGAATGTAGAAAATTAAATAGGTACTACAAAAAAGTATTTAACTGAAAAAAGTATTTTGAAACTACGTATTTTGCATTTAGCATTTCAAATACAAAAGGGAAATCTATTTCGTATTTTAAAAGTATTTGCATTTTGTGTTTAAATACTTTTAAATGATTAGTACGAACTATACAAGGAAGATGACCACTATCGCTGGAGACGTCTAGTTAAGAGTAAAAATTAGCATCTTGCCTTTGTGAACGTAACTTTTACATGAGTTGATTTATCAGAAACCCTTTTTACATTTACAAATTATATTATTTTATTTCTAGGCTGCCAGTCCTTCGTGTACAGAGTTAGAAACAATTGTGATGAATTGGTTTGGAAAAGCGATAGATCTTCCGAGCGATTTCATCTCGTCGAACCCTGGAAGTAAAGGCGGCGGTGTTATTCAAGGATCAGCCAGTGAATGTGTATTAGTGAGCATGCTATCTGCACGTAACGAAGCCATTAAGCATCTCAAATCAAAAAATCCAGACATCGAAGATAGCGCTTTCCTGCCAAAATTGGTCGCGTATTGTTCGAAAGAATCGCACTCGTGCGTAGAAAAAACCGCCATGATACTTTTAGTCAAACTACGTATCCTAGAACCGGACGAGAACTGTAGTTTGCGGGGGAAAACCCTGCTGAAGGCGATGCAAGAAGACGAAGAGCAAGGACTGCTACCCTTCTTCGTTTCGACGACTTTGGGTTCAACAGCGTGTTGCGCTTTTGACAATTTAAAAGAGATCGGACCCATCTGCAAATCGAAACCTTGTGTCTGGCTACACGTAGACGGGGCATATGCCGGAAATGCTTTCATCTGTCCGGAACTCAAGCCTCTAATGGCCGGAATAGAATACGCGGATTCTTTCAACACGAATCCTAACAAATGGCTTCTGGTGAACTTCGACTGTTCGTGCCTTTGGGTCCGTGACAAAATCAAACTCACTTCGGCCTTGGTCGTTGATCCGCTATACCTTCAACATTCGAAGGCCAACGAAAGCATAGATTACAGACACTGGGGAATCCCGTTGAGCAGAAGGTTCAGGTCACTTAAACTCTGGTTTGTGATGAGAAAATACGGTCTGTCAGGCTTGCAACAGTACATACGCAACCACATACGTCTCGCGAAATATTTCGAGTCTTTGGTCTTGAAGGATAAGAGATTCGAAGTCGTCAACGACGTAAAATTGGGCCTTGTGTGTTTCAGACTTGTCGGTCCCGATTCCATAAACCAAACGCTCCTGGCAACCATAAATGCTTCCGGAAAACTACACATGATTCCCTCGATGGTGAAGGGAAAGTACATAATTCGATTTTGTGTTGTTAGCGAATTCGCGAACGAAACCCACATAGAATATGCATGGAAAATAATAAGCAATTTTGCGACGAGACTTATTGGAACATTGCCGAAACCCATATCCCCCGACACCGTTGTCAGACCGCCCCTTACGAGATCGAAATCGAGAATTTTCTCGTTTACGAGAAGCGTCTCCAGAGACATGTACCAAAGGTCTATGAGCAAATCGAGCCTCTTCGATGGCGCAACCCCCATCCTCATACCGTCGGACGAGGAGTGTGATACACCACCCAACAATGAGGATGTACTGAACGCTATAATCAGTAACGGGTATCATCAAAACGAAGAAGAAGTCATAAATAAATTAGCTGACTTAAAAGTAGTGGAATCGAGCAATAAACCAAACGAAATTAAAAACAAAATTAAGGCGTAGCGAAAAAGCAACTAAAATCGTTGACAATTAAAATGATCAGTATTACTATAATAGAAATAAGTTCCTGAAAGTATTTAGTGAGCGTCTGGATACGAGTGCGTATAGTTTTAATTTATTTATTATTGTATTTATTTCAATGAGAACGTATGAAAAATGTTCAGTATTTTTCTATGTCCTAAACACTACATAGTATAAAAATAAATATACCTAGTAAATATTTTTGATAATAAAATGGTTTTTTATTACTTTTACGTCATCTTGGATTTACGAAATGAAATTAACAAAACAATCGTGATTCATCTTAATCTAACGTTTGTCATTAAAATTATAAAAAACTCGACCTATCTATGAATTTATAACTAAATTATTGTCTGCCTTCAAACTTTCGCCTAAAAAAGAACTTATTAAGTACAATTAAACAGCTTTTCTGGTAATTTATTATCGACTTACAGCTTACAACATCATCCAAAGTTCCATTAACGAAATACTTCTCCAAACTTGGATCTAACGAAACGCAAGTGTTAATAACACTATCGTTAAAATCCAAAAACAAAATAAATTGGTTTCTCACTTTGAATTCGTCAATCAAACTTTTAAAGCTCTAACAAATAGAAATTAATTAAATTAGATCGATTAACTAAATCGTTAATTAAATTTACCTTTGCGATTGTTGCGTCTATAAACTTTATACGACATCCGTCCAAAACGACCAAACTCTCCGATTCTTGACAAGCAGTTAACAGTTTTTCTTTCAAATGTTCTGCGGCGGGGAAAAGTAAACTGGTCTCTGGTACAACTAAATATACTTTTTTATCGTCAATTTGCCGAAAATCTAATACGATTGGAGGTCTGGCACTAAAGTAAAGAACAATGGACAAATTGGTCGCAATTCCTACAAGAATTCCATATTCCAAGTTCCACAACAGACAGCACAAGAGTGTGGCAAAGTAAGGAATCAAATCTAGTTCTACAAAATTATTTACGAACTTAACAAAAGCCGCTAAGGCACTGCATTAATTTATTACTTTTGGTTCTCCACAAAACGAAAACTGTGTCATATTGGATAAGCCCAATCATGGCGCTTATCACAACAGAAGCGAGAGTTGTCTTTGGAATGTAATAGAAGAAAGAAGTCATAAATGCCAAAACCAGAAGGACAAAAGTACCGGTAAAGAAGCCACCAGCGGTAGTTTTTACCCCCGATACGTTATTGACAGCGGTTCTTGTAAAAGATCCTGTAACCGGCATGGATTGAACGAAAGCACCGAAAAAATTGCAAAGCCCGAGAGCAAACAGTTCTTGAGTGGCATCGATGGTTTTACCTTTAGCTATAAATTATTTAATTGTACTGATAACGTTACCAAAATGTCAACAAGTCCATTACCAAATGCTTTAGAAATGCTAACGTGTTCTAAAATGGCCACCAAAGGGAGAAATGCCGTAGTTCCACCATATTGATTCATCATGTCCACGAAACTGTACGTCTCGTTGTTAAACGTTGTGCTGAATGGTGGTAGTGTGAAAGGTGGAAGACCTTTCTTTACAGTGCCTAAAAGTGGTAAACTGTTGTAGGAATGAAGGAAAAGTTTATAAATGTTACAAATAGATCATATAGTGAGTGTTGCAGAAAAACTCGAGGAAATTTCTTAACAGTATAAATACATAAGTGGCAGGTAGACAGTTGAAGTCAGTCGATAAATGGTTTAGAGACAGAAAGAATACAAAGTAGTACAAGGTGATATAAATTCAGTGTCAGATAAATAAGCATTAATATAAAGAAGTACAGCGTTCAAATAAATAAATTTATACTAGAAAATATTCGTTACAAAAAAAATAATCACCTGTTAACTGAAACGGAGTGTGCCCATACTGATAAAGGATGTAAGCTAAGACAGTTGCCCCCATTACAACAATTGCATAGCTTATAAGTGACATAAACCATAAGAAAATTGCTATTATATTTTGAGTTCTTGTACGATTAGATCTGATTCTCGAACTTCCTTTTCGTTTTCCTAAATACTAAATAATACAGAAGCGTTTTAACTTAATTTGAAAAAAAGCCAATTCGCGCTAGGAAATATAGTTAATTGTTTGATTTTTGTATGAAGTTAATCCTAAACTTCATACCTACTCAAAACAATATCCAGTACAAATGATATTGGTATTATTTTTTGGTGGTATACACTTCGTAAAGTTATCTCTTCTAAATAATCAACATTTTCAGCTTTTTAATACTCAATAATATCTGACAATAGCTAGTGAATATCTAATACAGTCTATAATTATGAGAATATTCGGATAAAATTTAAAACAATCATTTTTTAGTCACGAAGGTATATATAGCCTCAATATCGAAAGTTTTACCTTAATTCCAAGAATCAAGAGGGTGCAAATACATCCTAAAACGGTATCCCACAGTTTTATGCTCTTTATATTTTCGAAAACTTCTATCCACGCGTTCAGAAATTTACTTGCTTTTCCAGTAATACCGAACAAGGATTTTATTTGCGACGAAAGTATTTGCAGAGCCGCTGAAGTCGTAAATCCAGATATTATGGGATAAGAAAAAAAATCCAATATGAAACCTATGAATGTAGGCAAATATTACGACAAGAGTCAGCAGAAATGCCTCTTCATTTAAATAATAAAAAAATTATAATAAAACTTCAAAAAACTTTTACGGGTTTCGCTCCTGTTAATTCTACTAACCCAGTCTTAACAACCCAAGAGCAAAGATTATGATGCCAGCTAGAAATGACATGAGCACTGCCATATCAGCTCCCATGGCCTCTACATGGGGCTGCAACATAAGGGCCAGTATACTAGTTGGTCCTATGTTTAAGTCTTTACCAGTCCCAAACAAAAAATACGCAAATACACCCATAAAGCCCGAATATAAACCATATTGAGGATCTAAACCTACAAAGGGATCAAATAATGGATTAAATGCACATCAGTATTTTATATATTGATCCAACAAAAGCATGATTTAAATTTAATTTTTCAAAACTTTTATCAGATAATTTGACTTTATTTCTTTTTAATTACAATACAGTACTTGTAATGTTTAATCTTATCTTCAATCATGAAGTACTTATAAGTCTTATGAACAACAACAGAACTTATTGAAATATGAAGTTTACTTTTACATTTATACAAACCGGTTATTGCCACAGCAACAATCTTCCTTTTTTTGAATTTTCTTAACTATATACAATCAGTAAACAAACAAAAATGTGGTCATTACTTTTTACAACATTAAATAGCGAAAATAAAATTAAACTTAAATTAAATTTTCAGTAGCACGTCTAAAGAAATTCGTATCAAATTTTCTTGACTCCGACCCTGTCTAAAGTAACAACAAGTAGTTATGTAATGCAAGAATACATAAATTAACATTACCTGCTACTACTGCGAAAGCAATTCCTTGTGGGACCTCAGTTAAAGCAACAGTAAATCCAGCAAGTAAGTCATGAAGTAACTTTGAAGTAGTATAAAAAGGTATCCAGTTCAATATAGGAACACGACGTCTTATAAAACTTCGCCATTTATTGTTAGGCGTCGAACTATTTGTTGTTGTAATCATTTAAAGCAAGTAAAGTTTCACTGTAGGCCAGACCTGCTTATCATGATATTATATATATAAGTAATGTATCACTAAAATCTTATTCATTTTTATAAACGCTTTTAACAACTTATCCAGTTATTGCTGAGTGATACACAATGCACTTGTTTTGCTGATAAAGCGATAAAAATTATTGACAAATTGTTAATTATTTAATCCAGTTGAATTTAAGACTAATTTATTTACTCAATGAAATAATGTTGCTATCAGCAATTAATAACAATGCTTGTTAAGAACCATGCTCGCTCAGACAGATACTAGATCGTAAAAACCATTGCACAATGCGGTATCTATATAAATAAAACAACATTTATCTAGGTTGTTGTAAACAGATTAACTCCACTTTTCCACCAAAGTTGAGGAAAAGGACCTGAAATGTCTAGGCAAATTAAAAATCTCGGCATTCTCCGTTTATTGAAAAGGAGTGCGGTGCGATTAGTTACACGGTTCACAATTGCATCACAACATCACATGTATCGTCTATATGTACGAAAAACTCAAAAATGGGTAAAAATTTATTTTTTCCACACTGAGTTAAGTACCATTTATTAAAATTCTACAGTCTATACTTATTTAATAACAACAATTCTTAAATATTTATCATAATTAGGGTTCTTTTTGGTGACAAACGTAAAATAAGCAATTTCAGTTATAAGTAGGAAAATGCTTATTGAAAGTCCTACGAAAAGGGCTACAATCGCGCCGAAAAACTTTTCCAAATTCATCAGAGCTTTCACGTCTCCTTTTTCTTGAAAATGAAGTTCAGCTGTAATATAAGGTGCCATAACATCGTCCAACCACTTCTTTATAAGACCAGCTTCAAAAGCTCTCTTCACATATTCGTCAACCCTCGGTTTAATCGGCGAATTCTTTTGCAAGCCCAACGATATCGGCATGTGAATAATACAATCGGACATAATGTGGAGATTGTGTTTAGTATTGATCCTGTATTCGTCCCTTTTATTTCCCATTCTTTCTAAATCCTTAGAAAATTTAGTGTCATGAGTTTGTGATTCTTAAAAGGGACACTATTTTGAAGAGAAACTATTCGGGCTTTATAGCTGTGGTCTGGAATTAATTCTCCCCTTTTGATGAATGCTTGACATCATCAGAGAACTTTGGTAGAGTAGTAGACGAAATGTCGGATAAACGACTCCATTGGTGGACTCACCATGAGTGAAAAACCAATCCTGAACCATAGCCAAAAAGCCCAAATATCATATTTATCCTTTTTTCTCACACATACAAGTATCCCAGAATACCCTTACCTCCTTATGAATAGTTGCGTTTCCTGTTTTGGTACGATTATTTTGAAAACGTAGCTGACGTTTAACTGCGGCTTGTTTTAAAAAATGGACATTTTCGTAGAAAGCAAATTTTCCTTGAACTATTCTTTCAATGGTTTCCTCCAAATTTTGTATCGTCTCAAACTGATCGCCGACATATTTTGTGAGAGGGTCCAAAGATGTTGCAAAAAAGTTCTTATTTACTTCACCCCATCCTCCTGTTGGGAGTCCGCTGTCCACTAACTGCGTTAACGTGTCAATGGTGACCCTACAACAACATTCAATAAATAATAAGTATTTAGAAATTCGAAAAAGGTTGTTAAAGGTGTATGTTTGGAGCACGGCGTTGTACGGGTGCGAAATATGGACAGTGGGAGTGGGGGAAAAGAAACGGTTAGAAGCGTTCGAAATGTGGTGTTATAGGCGGATGATGAGGATATCGTGGGTAGAAAAGGTTAGAAATGAAGAGGTATTGGAAAGAATAGGAGAACAGAGGACTCTATGGAAGACAATAAAAAATAGGCGAGATAGGTTGGTAGGACACCTTCTCAGGCATGAAGGTCTAGTCAGAGACATATTAGAGGCAGAAACAGGAGTTAGGAGGGGTGGAGGTAGGCCTAGATTAGATTACACTTCGCAAATAGTTAAGGATGTGGGCTGTTCTAGTTTTAGGGAAATGCGAAGTTTAGCTCAGGATAGGAAAGAGTGGAGGTACGTGTCCAACCAGTCTTAGGACTGATGACCTTATGATGATGATGATGATGAAAGTGTACATACGAGAAGAAGAAAAAATGTTTCCTTACCGTGGAGCAGGTTTGGCTAAAATTGCTGTCATACTGGCCCTATACGCTACCACAACTAGAATACAATATAACCAGTACCACCCTGTTAACACCCTTAAAGACCAACCTGTCGGCAATTTTGGCAAAGAAACCACTAACAGCATACCATAAGTGTACAAAATACTATTGGGTATATCTCCAAATAAATATAACCCAACTGGTTCTATCTCCTTTTGTTCCACGTAATATTGTTTCTTCATTAACGCATATTTTGCGTTTACATCTAATTTTCCATTAGTATCTTTCGAAATACCCAAAACGTTTCTAAAGAGCATCTTTCTGTCTTTTTTTACACCGAAAATCATTTCGTTGACTTTGTTATGGTATCGCGAAAGGACGTAAAATACAAAGCCGATAAAGAACAGACAAATGAAAATTGCAGCCCATAATGTAGGACTAAAATAATCATTACAGATTCTTAAATAATTAAATCCAATTAGGTATTAGTTTTTTACGTACGCAAAAGGAAGAAGTAACGTTTTCCATGAATTATTAGTAAGGGATTCGGGTGTAAGAAATGCTAAACACTCTGTATTGTATGGTACCGATAGGTCCATAAGATCTAAAAATTGTGGAGAATAGTGAAGATCTCCAAGGGCTAAATCGGCTTGACTTGCTACCATTTCACCTAACAGGCCATTGTACTTCCCATCCGATTGTTTTTCACCCAATTTGTATTCGTTTGTAATATCTGGTTCGTGTAATTCTGGTTCAAAGTTCATAGCTTTGGACACAATTTCTAAAATCTTCAACAAACAATCAGTCAATGGTATTTCCGAACTGTTTTGTTTAAAATGCTCCAGATGTGTGATTACCTTCATTTCGATTCCAGCAAATTCAAAATTATCACTAGATACTGTAGAGGAAAGTTTTGTACTAAATACGCCTTTACCAGAAGGTACCTTTATCACAGCAGGCATATGGTCAAATGTCACAACTTGTAGTTTTTGTTTGTTTAAATTATTCGTTTTATCTCTGAACAAATCAATACCTATAATAAAATATTCCAAAGCCATCAATTAAATACGTATTAATCGATTATTTGGTTACGGACCTGATCTAAACTTGCCGTCCCTCCAAATATCTAATCTACGAGGTACCAAACTGTTACCAATCGGCGCCGGAAATGGTACTGTAGTTATCTCAAACCAGGGAATCCTTTTTCTTTTTGATCCCATTCTTTTAATACCACCGTATTCCCGAATAAATATTACATTTACAATTCGCTTCCAAATGTATTTCATGTCTTCGTAAAATAATTGATTATCGTAATTAATGATAAAATTTGCTCTGGTGTTAATAATTCTACGACTGAAATTCCAGTAATTATTTATGAAATTCAATTAATAAGTGAAATAGACAAAGAAGATCCGGAAGGGTTTTTTGGTCTAATACGTACTAAGAAATATGGAGCCCCAAATATTTACACTTTTTTAAAATTTGAACGTATTTATACTGATAAAGGTTTTAGTAAAGGGTAACAATGGAGGCTTCGTATTCATTTACTGTTAAGCCAAAACACCTCATTACTACTTTTTATCTATTTATTGTACCCACCTGTCTCCAAATTTTAGTAAATTTGTAACTTGGATAGTGTCTAAAATCAAAATCAAGTAAAACTGGCAACCAGTCGTCTTTCCCAGTTGCAGGGAACTAAGGGTTTCGTTGCAAGGATCAAACAAATCCTCGTAATCATCCACTTTAATCTAAATTTGCAATTGTTATAATTAATACCTAATGAATTATTTTAGTAAATATACATAGTTAATAGTAGCAAACCGGAAATATTGCAGATGCATGGAGAATGACACCTTGATGTCTGAATGCGTTTTGGGTTTTTTAAACCTTTTTATGTGGATTTTGGGATTTTGTTTATCATATGGTACAATTTATGAAATAAATTCCTCTATGTAATTACCGTTATCATGGAAACCCTTTGCTGAAGTTTCTTGAAGAAATCTGACTGGATTGTTTCATAATAAAAGTCATCCATTACAACAAGAGCACATCGATATGATTCCATGTATTTTTCAAAAATATTAGAGATAAGTTGGGTCAAATTTTTATCATTGCCCTTCGAAATTTTTGTCAAATGTTTATCTGTGATCAATCTAAATGAAATAACGTATCTTAAAGTAAATGTAAAAAACATAAATATGTACATGAATATTCGCCGTTTTCTTACCCCTCAGAACCAACTTTACCAATGGTAAAATGCTTGAATAGAAGGCTTGCTAAGAACAAAAAATATTGTAACTGCATTTTAAAGAACAATGAATGTATCTGAAGATAATAAAATGTATTGTACTTAAAAGAAAACTGAACGTAATTTCGAATAAAGGAAATTGGGTCTAAATAATAAATTTCATTTTGTCAATCACAAGATCAATTTATTGTCTTGATTAATTAGGGACTAATCGGCCTTGCGTGTTCTTAAAACGGCATAATCACATTATTAATATTAAAAACTTATTAAAATATACATTTATTTCTTATATAATCTATTTACAGTTCATCTTTAACCTCTTCCACGTCTTTGGATAAAAACCATTTTTGGTATACATTAAAAGGATCCAGCATCCAGTATTTATGAAATGTAATGGGTTTTTGGCCTTCCAAATATTCAGGAGTGTAATCATTTGGTCGAGCCTAAAAATGGGACAATTAAATCACCTTTTAATAAAAAGATATAGCAAACACTCGATAATGTGAACATCGCTTAATGTGAACACCACAATAATTATAGTAGGCTACCGTATACGGTGAACAAACTAAACCTTCGATTATAGAAACGAATGTTCATTAGTCTTAAAAACTGATATTTCTACATTGCTGTTGGTACTTCCCTAGTCGTATTAGCAAGAAAGATGTTCTGTTATTCGCGTATTCACTTCAAGCAGTTGTTAAAAAATCCTCAGAAATGATAAAAAATTGGTGGCAAAGAATTATATTTTATTTATTACTGTGTTACATGTTTGTTGCGGTTTTTTAATAAGTGTATTTAAAATTTATGTTTAAGTACCTATGTTTATTTTATTAATCACAAATATAATACATCATTCGTTAACGTGAACAATTATTGTTTTTCTGGGTTCACACTATCGAATGTCCACGCGAATTCCTATAAAAGAACCTGATGAAAATATGGAGAATGTATCACATCAACATCAAGCTTTTTAAAGCATAATCCTAAAACCATATCATCCGGGCTGGATACACTCGGACAATGGCAACCCTCGGTCGACAATTTCTCGACTAAGGGTCTACTTATTAATATTCCAGCTCCCCCCGTAAGGTAATTATAACCCCAACCAGATACTACATTGTACCCGTATCGTTCACCAATTGCGACATTTTCATTTTCGTCATAACAACTTAAAAATTGTCTCACACGCGTAACGCTAAAAATTAAAATCATTATTATANCGTAACATAAGCCATCTATATACTATACATCTATATACTGTACATATTCCTGTTTTCTTTATTACATAAACTGAATAAGACTACATTATTAAATTATTGTTATATGAATAACCTCGTTTAATATTTGTTCCTTGAGTTTTTCTGCGAGACTTAAATGGAATTTATTCGGTTGCGTGAGTATAATAAAAACATTTTTATTATCTATGAAGGAACCTAAAACGAATCGATTCTGCTTTTATAATACCTATATAAAAAGATGTCTCTTACCTTCGTCAAAAGACAATGCCAACAATAACTTGCTATATAACTAATATAATGATAAATTAAAATCAGAGGCGGATCCAGAAACGAATATTGGGGGTTGAAGGGGACGTTTGCTTTTGCTATCAAGATTTTTTACAGATTGAAGAAATCTGATCACAGAACTCTTGAGGAAGGAGAAATTTTCCCCATTTCGCCTCTGGATCCGCCAATACTAAAGTAAATTTATCAAGAAACCTCAGTATTGTATCGTCGTCCACTATGAACAGCCATTTGTAGTTTTTATTCGACTTCATTATTTCCGCGACGTTTTCTATAATTTTTATCGTTTTTATACAATGCCCTTTGTCTGAATTGGGGACGTTTACAGAAATGGTACCGTAGTTCTTGTCTTTAAGCATAATATTAATAAAAGCAAAACTTACAGATAAATGTACACTGTTAAACTAATTGTAGTTTCTAATGGTATCTAAAATCTAATGATATCAAATCGATCAAAACAATGCCCTCTCTTTGATATTATATTGATATCTTACTCATAATTTATTTGTTAAATTTTTTTACTAAACAACTAACAGTCGCATAATGTCCAATATAAAATAAATAAGGTTCAACAATTTTATTGTCCACGACAATTGTTTCGCCGTGCAACAGTTTCTTCAACACTTATTCTTCACTGAATACGTCCCTGTGTGGTGAAACAATTGCCGTGAACAAATAAATAGTTAGTTAAATTTTTATAAAGTGTTTTACATTATTAAAGTATTTAAGTAGTACCAAACCTTCGATATCGCTGAAAAATCCAACATGGGGGGTGTGCTTCGCCCACGTATCTTTCACGATGGGTAGTCTGGTATCGTGGTACCCATGAAATGTTTTAACAGCGAAATATATAGAATTTTTAGAAACAATATCTTTCTAAAAAAATAAATTCAAAAACATTATAGATTGGCCCATTATAGGGTAGCAAAAGCTAAACGTAAAGAAATTCTTACACAAGGATAGTAAATTACGGGATACGTAGTGCAATTGCTTGTTACAGATGGACAGAAGGAAGGTTCGTGGGTCACTTTAACGCCGTTTCCATTGTCCCATATTAGTTTTGATAATTCGTATATAAAATCGATACTAAAATCGATTTCTGTTTTCTCATTTAAAATTCGCTCGCCAATACTAAAATTGGTAATTGAGCATATGTATATAAATTCTATTTGTTTATCAAACCTTTTTAATAAGCTACTGCTTATAATGAAACCCGAAGCGGAAATGGGATACTTAAACTTTTTGGATGGATCGTCAACAAAATCAAAATGATGTGTAATCGATGGTTCTCTATCAAAAACTGCGTGGCCCAACCAAATTTTCTGCAAATTATCATATCAAAAACACCTCAAAGAAAACACAATATGTGTACCCAGCTTACTTTTTTTGAATCGTACTTATTCAAGACGGTTTGTAAAGATTTAATATCAATCCATGTGTTATCGTGAAGAAAAATGTACCAAGACGTATCATTTTCCTGTGTATTTAACAAAGTTGTTATTAGTGGAAAAACAGTCCAACTTCCCACGTGTGGAAACTCATTAGAATAGTATACTGTCGCTGAATCCTTCAACTGGTTTACGTATTTAAGGGTTAGATTGTAAAGAAAAAGAAAATACAGCATTTGTCATAGACATAGAAGGTACATTTTCTACAGAAAATTTGCCTCATTATATGATTAAATGTAAAATTACAAAATAATTAAAATAAAAGATATATCAGTGAAAAAAAATTATCTTCGCTAAAAACAATAAATAAAAATTAGGCATCGCATCTTATAATGTCCGATATTTTGGAATCTTCTACAAAAACATCTTATTTTCCTGATTATACCTAAGATTAACATTCTAACGGAAACATATTTGACTTTATAGTAGGTATAATAAGAACATAATAAAAAATCTCTACGAATGAAAATCTTAAATATTAATTTAAACTGGAAAATAAGGTCTTTTACAGATACTTCTGACAAAACAGAAGTTGACATTGCACTCCAATTAAAAAAATGTGAAAATTAATTTTAATTTATTGATAATCGTTTTTTTATTACTTTCGAATTTTACGTTTAGCTATACAGTAAAGTCGACTCTCTGTAAAAATTATACTTCCTCGCATTTGTGGGAGTTTGTGACAATTATTCGTACACCCTGTATACAAAAGACGCGCTTAATTTTTAACCGTGATGGAAAAGAGTTTTGGTCAGTTTATATATTAGTCAATGTGTAACATGAGATTAGATTAGAATGCATGACAAAGAAGCACTGAATATTTAATACTAATGAAATAAGAACGCAATAAAGCAGCTTGTTTACTATTATAATTATAATGCGGTAACTAATACTAATTACGAATTATTGAATGAATATATTAAAAACTANAAAAGATGTCTCTTACCTTCGTCAAAAGACAATGCCAACAATAACTTGCTATATAACACTAAACAAATTGAGAATAATTTCATTTTACACCGCTTAAAACATAACATTGATTAATATAAGAATTGATTAATCTAATTAGAAATTTATTTCTTAAGAAACTGAATATATTGAGGAGGTCGTCTCGTCGAGCGTTGTTTCTTTATTCGTTTTGTTTTGTGTATGTATAGGTAGGACAAAAATATCTTGTACTAAAATACCCTTATAGCTTTCCCCATTTTGAGATAAACGAATTTAAGATCCTTTTTAACCTTTCGTTAGTGAAGTTTCTACATAAATTTATTTATATTTCACAGCAGCAGTATAACAATTTTTTTGTATATGGTAAAAAATAGAAAGTATACAAATTAAATTAGTACGTACGTATATTTTTTATTACTAATCAAACAAAGGGTTAATTGATTAAAACGGTTTTTAGTATATTGTAACTTTTCGTTTAAAAGACTTAAAAGCAATTATAAAAGCTCTAGATACAATATTAATTCAGTAATAAATACTTCACCAACATACAAGTCATGCAATACATTAAAAAAAAATAAAAAAAATATCATAAGCAAGACTGGTTAATATTTCCCAAAATATGTTCCATTATGTACGTAAATTATTTTTATGTAATAACCCTTTTATGGAAATAAGTTATAGGGATTTAGTAAACGTCAGGTGCAAGGTCACCATAATTAACCTCACAATTTAGCAACTAATTATTATTAAAAAAGACTATTTATTTATACAAATTCGTTCATTAGTTTTTGTTAAAGCATAGCATTAACAAGGTAATTATTGGTTCTAGTAAAATTATTACTTTTCATGGAGAAAAATGCAAGTTTTATATTTTCAGTTCTAAACTTTTTAGAGTAGATATTCATAATTAATTAGGTATTAAATTTACTAAACAACTAACAGT